CTGCTGAACAGTTACAGAAAGGGCCTAGCCTATGAGAGGAAGGGCACAGGCAAGAAGCGGGGTTATGGACTGCAATATAATGGGCACAAATCAAAGATATCAAAAGACATAAATATCAATACTACCATCCATCAGAACACTGGCATTTCCCACAGACAAGATCTCCTTGGCCGTTACAGCGCGCTGCATTTTTAACCGGAGTCTGATGTTAAAGTTGAAACAGGAGTGTAAGATTTTAAATGAACATGCAGAACAGGAGGAGGGTTAGAAAGAGGTAGCAGACCTCACCTTTTCGCAGTCACATGTATGACAGAGCACTTCGGCGTTGATTCTGAAGGCGGAGCTAAATGTGGTTGGTTTGACTCTTAAGGTTCCAGCCCGGTCAGCCTGGTTGGCATTACACACATGCTGCTCTCCCACCTGAGTAAGAGCCTTCAGACGGACTCTAAATTTACCCTTTACAGAGAGAAAACTTGAATCAGTGTCTTTACGACAAGGTTTTCACATTTTAAAGAGTAAAATAGAGTGTTTATAAAATTGCAGCACATGCAGCTATTGTAACAACCAGCATGCATCTTGTTTTCTATTGGATATGTAATAAATTACATTAAATATGTCAATAAATTAAACTAAGAATAATGAAAAAATTTAATTTTTAAAATTTAAATACATTTTAAATAAAAAAAAGAATCATTTAAAAATATGTTTGTAAAAACAGAAAAGCATTTGATAAATAAATGAATAAATAAATAAATACATTTATAACATATTGAAATTATTATTTAACATGATAATTTATGCTTTTCCTTCCTTTTGAAAAGCTGGCAAGTGTGTGAGAGACTACATTTGAAGTTGTGCATTAAAAAGAAGTCAAAGGCACTCACAATTTCACCTGGTGTGATTTTGAAATTGCCAAATTCAGAAAAAGTGCCAGACTGAGAGAGAATCTTGGCTTCCACCGCCTTTGGTCTGTCCTCTGCACGGATACTGATCTTGGAACGAATATTCTGTTAAAAAAAAGATGGTTCAAAAAAGAGTTACATCAAATTTGGAAAAAAAATCTCAGCAATGTATTTGGTATGAAAATAAATTTACTTCAAAAGCATTTTTTAAAATGCTCAAGATGTTGGAGGAATCTTCTTGTAACTGTCCCAGCTCAGCAATAGGGAAGTATTCATTGAGTTTCTACAAACAAAGGAAATCATAACGTGTGTCACAAGAAGTTTATATCCAATTTTCAATATAATGCTTTTTCATATTGTGGTCTCTGAGAACTTTTCAATGGAGACAAGATGCACTTACGCCATTAAGACAACAAAAATAAATTTTTAAAGGCATACAAACCTCATAGTATGAATAGGAGTGGTTAGTAATGGCGAAGATTGGAATGATGTTATGTTTCACCAGAAGTCGCACTAGGGTGGGTATAGATGGGTAGTCTTGACGAATATCATGTGTGTAATTTCCATCTGAAGTCAGATGGCATTGCTCATCATTACGATCCAAGATGCCCGCGAGCACATTGGCACCGTCTGCCTCATAATGGAAAGCTGATTCAGTGGAGAAGACCAGCAAGTGGGTGCTGTGTTTCCTCCAGCCAATTTGTTCCTGTGAAAATTAGAAACAAGTTATACTGTACCAATAAGAAGCAAGTTACTGTTTACAGTACTGTAAATGACAAGCATTTCTCACTTCTGCCTACCGAATTAACTTCTTAAAAATAGACTCTCAGTACCTGGCAGACAGCAGCCTGTAATATGGCATCAAAACCCCCCTCGGGGGCATCCAGGTTGCCAGATATGCGCTCTTGCTGGAGCTTCTGTCTAAAGGTGTTTATGTTGTTGGTGAGAGTGATGACGTTACGGAATGAAAACGGAGAGTCGCTGTTGGCCCACGGCTCTTTTAATCTTTAAGAGGAAAAACATATATAAGGAGCGTGTGCAGACAAAGTCAAACTGCGTGGTGCTGTAACGGTGTATTGTTCTTACTTAGCTGGTCTCATGTCTGTCTGAGGCTCGGTGACTTTGTCCACAAACTTGCCAAATCCGATGGTGTAATCGTCAGAGAGTTTGCCAACAAGCTCAGCTGCATGGGGTGAAACCAGAAAATGAATGACTATTAAAATGTTGCAAAACAAACAATTCATGAGTGTGGCACCCAAAACTAGTTTGCCCAAGGCGTATAATTTCAAAAATTGCGCTCAAACAGCCAGACAATGCGCAATAGATTTGGAGAGGGACTCAAAATACGTATTTAAAAGTTGAACTAACTTGACCCACCATCTAAATAATGCAACACTCATGGCTCAAGATGAAACAGTGAGACATGACACAACAGCCAATGTAAAAATAGCTAGAACACATCCTGTAAACCCACTTGGTGCAGCATAGCTTGATAGTTGAGACATTAATTTACAATGGACCTTATCATGTGGCAATAATCGATAAACAATTCTAACAATTATAAGATCTTCATTATTCATTTAGCAGACACTTGTCAATTATGATGGATGCATCACCCCTTGCAATGTTTGAACTAAGCTGGGCAATATAGTTAAAAAAATTTGTAGCCTTTTGGTTTATGCATTGCATTGCTAAGAACTTCATTTGGACAACTTTAAAGGCGATTTTCTCAATATTTAGATTTTTTTGCACCCTCAGATTCCAGATCATCACAAATATATCGCCCAACCCAAATTACAACCGTTACCAGCCCACATCTAACCACTATAATACACCGCCCTCCTCGCTCACCCAGCTGGTCTCCCATCCTCTTCAGGTTGTCCAGATCATCAGACATAGAGTTGGAGAAGTCCATGAGGATGTAGAGGTCCAGAGGGCCACGGGTTGGTTCAAACACCTCCATCTCCACCTCCCTCTCCTCCCCGGGGAGAAGCGTCATGCTCATTAGCTGAGGGGCCACCTGAGAGTACTTTAGTGACTTATTCATTTGCACATTCTGAAAAACACACAAAGACACATTAATGCATAAACACACATGAATCCATGATATGGAAATGTAACTAAAGGGAGGGACAGGATTCTGATAAAAACAAACCTCTACAATTTTCCAGCTGCTCTTAATTGTTACCATCCGACTACTACATTTACGGGCCTCCAAGTTTTCCTTCAGGTCACAACGCTCATACTCAAAGATCTGAAGAGAAAAAAACATATACAAATGAAAGAAATTACACAACTGTGGTCATGCAGCTACAATAGGTTTTATGAACATACAAATAACCAGAAACCATAGGTGACATTTAAGGTGGGGACAGTAAAATAAAATACAGTACTGGTTGAAAGTCCAGCAAATTTTTTTTTTCTAATTAATACTTTTATTTAGCTATGACACATTAAATTGCTCAAGAGTGACAGTAAAGACATGTATAATGTAAAAATTATATTTCAAATAAATGCTGTTCCTTTGAACTTTATCCATCCAAGAATCCTGAAAAACAAATGATCATGGTTTACACAAAATAATAATAATAAATGTTTCGTGAGCAACAAATCGGTACATTCGAATGACTTCTGTAGGTTAATGTGACACTGAAGACTGGGAATAATGGTTTTACAATTTTAAACTATAATAATAGTTCACAATATTACTGTTTTGACTGTATTTCTGATCAAATAAATGCAGTCTTGGTGAACAAAAGCGACTGCTTTCAAAAACGTATAAAATAATACTGACCCCATACTTTTGGAATGATAGTGTATATCATTAAAGTTCATTTGAGAAGAACTGCGCAAATCACTGTTTAATAAGACTGTAGTGTGTCATACTTGAAACTGAATAATGAAATTGTTGCTTAAATGAATGTTGGACATTTAACATTTCGGTTTAGATTTGTAAATGAAATAATACTCTTCTACAGACCCTCTGGATCAATACGTCATATAGACTAATTATGAAAGCACGTCAAACACATATACAACATCAATTCATTCTTCAGCATGAGGATCAGTGAGTTTCACCTCATCGGGGCAGTAAGCACATCCTGTGGCGATCTGGATACATTCTGAGCAGGTTTTTGCCCTCACAGCAGTACAGTGGTTCACTATGTAACACAAAAAAGGCATATTCAGCAAATAACAAAGATAATTATGTCTTCCCTGAATTTGGCTTTAAATGTTTTGAACTCAGTAATTAAGGTCTTCTTAGCATTACATATTTGGGAAACCAATTTTTCTGTTGTTATTTTATCTATTGTTTTATCATTTAAATATCCTAATAAACTGTTTCTTTTGCTTGAAAGGTGAACAGTGCTTTCATTATTTAAAATAAATGACACTTGGGCTGATGTTTCATTATTCAGTGCAATGACATTTATATATTTTGTACATAAATATATACATATTATAGCATGCAAAGTATTTGGACAGTTAAAAATGTACTTCACTGTATTAGATAACAAAACATCAACCCAAATGTTATCATATATATTGGTTATCATTAATGATTAGTCAGCAGAAAGTAATCTGGTGTTTTTAACTGACTTGGCATTGCTTCCTAAGTAAAAGCGTTTGTAATTGAGATTTGAGGTTTAAGGGGCTTAAGAGTTGATGTTCCCACCCTCATTAGCACGGCTGGCTGCCACAGCGAGCATGAGAACGTAGATCCACACAGCGAGACGCAGCGCCCATCCTCCCATTTCAGTCTGAAACATAAATACAACAATAGCAAGATCACACATTTTACATAAAGTTAAACATGGTGAACAGATGCCACACAGATACAGAGATACACACCATAACTGATCATAACTGAACTGAGTAATTCAAGGCATGCGAGACATGTGCCTTGGTAAACACCATAAAAAATTCAGCAAAAACCTCATAATGACCAGACACACTGCAGTGGACATTCACTTGAAATGTACAGCATACATTTGTATGTTCATTGTCCATTACACTTTTAGAGACCACTGTCCTTATCTAATCTACAGTAGAATAGCATGCACCTCAGCTGTTATATCGGCGCTTAAATAAAAAAACAGAAGGAGAAATCTGATCCACCTTTCTCTCGCTTTTCACTCGCTCCCTTTCTCCCTGAAAACATCAAATGAAAGTTGAGCCCATTTCACCCCCCATAAATCTGAACTCTGACAGCGAAGAGGAGAAACAGACCAATGATTCCTCAGGAATTCCTCTCATATCCTCTACAGATGCACACGGACTCCGGTGAAGAGAAACACACACAAACACTTTTGTCTTATTTTTTTTTTCTAATAGAATTTTTGATTTTATTGTGCATAATTTAATCTAACTTTCAATTGATTAATTTGTTGTAATTAATGACATTATATTAATTGATGAATTTAATCCCATATTTGCGGATTAGAATCAGGACACATTCTTATATGCGTCAACACACATACTGCATTTTTTTGTTTTATTTTGAAGCCCTGCATTTTGTTCTATTCTGCTGAGCTCCATCTAGGACACAAAACATATTCCCTGAACACATCCATACACACTGCGTGCTGCCTGCTCTCGCTAAATGTGGTTCGGTGAAACTTATTACTTATAGTAGCAGCTGGTGCTGAACTGACTGCAGACTTGGAAAAACCATCAAGTTTGTACTTCAGATACTTGTACTTTTGAATATGTATGTTTGAATATATCCAATGGGACAAAAATCACTTACTACGGAATTTACATACAAGTTTTTTTGACATTTTTTAAATAAGTGTACTAAATTATCATGTTAAATTGAAAGCCTTGCAAATTGTATCCATCAAAAACAACCCTAAACCACCAAAATACACAAAACAATACACTCCAAGAAAAAAACTGGTTGTTCTAAACCTAATGCTCACACATCCTTCAACTTTACATTCATATATAACTGCTCAAGTTCATATTTTGACCAACATCGCTGTAATTTCACTCCAGGAAAAAAAACTCAATCCCATATAAATATTACTGCTCTGGTTGTTCTAAACCTAATGCTCACACATCCTTCAACTTTACATTCATATATAACTGCTCAAGTTCATATTTTGACCAACATCGCTGTAATTTCACTCCAGGATGAGAGAAAACTCAATCCCATATAAATATTACTGCTCCTGAGACCTAAACAGATCTTAGCATGCTATTGTGAACCTGATCGGGCCTGTGCTAACCTCACAAATGGGCATGTTTAGTCATACAGAGAGAAAAACAACATAAAGTACCAATACAAAATTATTACACAATTTGTGTACTTGGATATTTTCTTGTGGCAAATGTGGTCATTCCTTTTTGCATAAGTGAAACTTTGAGGAACAACTTATTTAGAGCTAATTTTCTCTGTCTCAGTAAAACTAAATACAAATTCAACTAAATGTAAATCAATCTGAGAATAATAATGACATTAAAATACCATAATTAAACCTAATAATCACAATATATACAGAATGATCCAGACACAAATGTGAATGGTCACAAATGCATAACAACACTGAAAATAAATGGTGCAGCTTAAGACACTCTTTTGCAAAAGTGAAAACAACCAACAGCCAAACACCTTCTTTTATCTCTCATATCTTCATAAAGATTTAGTGGACATATTTTAGAAGATGAAAAACAGAAACAGCTGAACAGTAGTGGGCAATATTTAAAGACCTAAAACAAACTGATTCAAAAAATTCTATTAATTTCGCCAGCCACAAACATCAGCTGAAAAACAAGGCAAACAAAAAGAGACAAGCAAGTAAAGAGGAAAGGGGAAGCAGAGAGATAAAAAGAGCCTTACAAAATACATGCATGACTGTGAGGCTTTACAAAAAGATTGTTGATCTCACAAACCTCTTAGTTTGTTGTTTCCCAATCCAAGTCCCAGAGTCCAACCACCAACCAAAGTTCTCTAAAAGAAAATCCTTTATTCTCTCCCTTGTGTCCAATGATTCACCGAAGAGGGAAAATAACCTGTTTTCCACCTGTGTCTTCACAAATCCAAACAACAGGGAAACTTCTTGTGCTTGCAGGAAAAAGTTCCCTTCCTACCCCACTTGGTGCTGTGCACAATCGACTGAATATTCCCCCCAGATACGACTTGTGTTTAAGAGTGAATGTGTGTCTGGTCCCTCCTCTTTTGCTCAAGCTGTTCAGGTGGGTCGCAGGCAACACCCTTCCTGTCTTTCGCTGACTTTGTGAGGCAACAAGGTCGCTCCACCTTTCTTTCTGTCCTTTGCTCACTCGCTCTCTGCACATTCCTTTAGCAGCACCCTCACCTGTGTGGACTTGAGAATGACAGGTCAGAGCTCCTCCCCGAGGGGGAGAGGAAAAAGAGTGAGAGAGAGAGGGAAAGAGTGAAGAAACCCTGCCCTGACTGCCCTTGCACAGGGTACAGGGTACAGAAGAATCATTGCCGCACTCATTTCTGCACATGGATACGCAGGTACACACATGAACACGTGCCTCGTCACACTTTAAGACAATGGAAAGCGACCAACTAAACTCAGAGATATGCATGACAAACAATCCAACAGGCTTCACACACTCAAGTGAACTCAACAGCTCACACAGAGCATTGCCTTTGAAGTCTTTCAAATGTCACTGCCACAAAAATGTGCCCTAATACAAGAGAGAAAAGAGAAAGTGAGACAGCAAGAGAGGAAGCAAGAAATACAGTGAAGAAATGGGGAGAGGGAGAGAGAGAGCGTGGTGAAAACATGTATTCCTGTGTAGCAGGAACAAAGCAAAAGATTCCAGAACGACCTCCATTTACAACTTGACTCGGTCATATAAATATAAACGATAGATATAATGATAGAATGATAGATAAACAGACAGAACGATTGATAGATAGGTAGACAAGACAGATATATACAGACAGCCATACAGAACATATAACGATAGAACAATCGACAGACTGACAGACAGACAGACAGACAGATAGATAGATAGATAGATAGATAGATAGATAGATAGATAGATAGACTGATTTATTGACTGATGATAGATAGATAGAATGATAGACAGAGATAGATAGAAGTCAGACGATAGAAAAATAGACAGAACAACTGAAAAATAGATATAACGAGCGAGAGACAAAGATGGAGCGACAGACAGAAGAACAGAATGACTCGAACAATAGATATAATGATCAAACAGTCAAAAGACAAACAGATAGAAAAACACAATGATCGAATGATTGACAGACCGACAGACAGACAGACAGACAGATAGATAGATAGATAGATAGATAGATAGATAGAAATACTGGTAGAATGATAGAACGATAGATTAGATAGATGGTAGATAGAAGGATAGATAGAACGATCGATAGAAGGACATATAGAGTGAGAAAGATAGAGTGATCGAACAATAGATATAATGATCAAACAGTCAAAAGACAAACAGATAGAACAACACAATGATCGAATGATTGACAGACCGACAGACCGACAGACTGACAGACCGATAGATAGATAGATAGATAGATAGATAGATAGATAAAACACACAGTAAAAGCATACAGACACACCATGGCAACGTAAAATCATGGGAAGCACATTCTCGCAGGGTAGATGCATAACACTAAACACACAATGAGTCAGAAACAAGGTGTGTCCTTCCCCGAGTAACAATCAGACAGCCTGGCACTCAGTGAAACGTTAGAAAGGGATGTGTGTGGTACAGCTGTCCCTCAGGAATGACCTGTGGAAAAACTTAACTGCTGTTATCGCCATTTCTGTCTGCCGGACATCAGAAACGTTCCAACTGCATTTCCTCACATGCTTTCCCTTGGATAATTTTTTAAACATCAAAGTACATGAAGCATTATTTCCAGCCTTAAAAGACAATTCATATTCAACCTTCTTTTGTTTATAAACACTGAATTCATACAGGCTGTTTAGATTTAAAAGAAATTGACACAAAGATACAAATCAAGATACAATAACCAGTTGAAAATGGCAATAAGTGCAAAATATTACATGTTTGATTGTACATTTAATGAACAAATGTACAACTTTTTGAGTACATTTTTGCCCCGTTTTTACTGTATCTTCTGAAAAATTCGGACACAATTTCCAAAATAAATATTGTTTTCCTCCTTAATGCTCAAGAACATCCCTCTCAGGATTTCCCTTTCCCACCAAAAAGAATCACTATGGTAACCATAGTTGCCAGTTACTGTTGTTGTTACTAATGTAATCCTGCTAAAGGCTCCCACAAATAGTGTACAAAATAGGGCCTAGAGAGAGAGAGACAGAAAGAAAGAAAGAAAGAAAGAAAGAAAGAAAGAAAGAAAGAAAGAAAGAAAGAAATTAGCATGCCTTAAGTCTAGAAGCATAATCAATTGCTGACGACACGTGACTAATAACAATTTACCATGGTAATCTTTCTTGGCAGGATGTATGCATCTTTCACTCCTTAATATCTGCTGCATATGTTTTAAAAATACATATTACACCACAGACTTACACTAACACTTCTCCAAAACAAATATTATTTTCCCCCTCAGCGGTCAAAACCATTTCTCTCAGGCTTTCTCTTGGCAAATCCGATTCCGACCACCCATTAAGCACATAACGTCTGCAAACAGTTTTAACGCGGTTTTAAAACACTTACAGTATTAAAAACGAGTTTGATTTGCTCAAAGTAATTAAACTCACCTCTTCACAGACGAGTTCCGCTGTCGCCTACAACAGTCAGTCAGCGCGTCAAAACTCTGCGAGCTCCTAGACAACATCTGTTGGCATCTTAGGAGCGTTCCGAATCGGCTCAAACGTTATGTATCATACTTACAAACATTCATGAATTTTTTAATTCACATTTTCCTAGCACTTGCAAACGCCCTGGACTGCATTACGCACAGTAAGACACATGAAAACGGGAGCAGGTGTCTTTGAAAGCAGACCAAAAACTAGCAAATAAGAAGAGCTATACTCTAAAGAGCTTATGAACATATATGTTCAAATGTTCATATTTATATAGAACTTATAAGTTATAGGCTACTAGATCTACCAAAAATTTGTACAAAATCGGAAATTACAATTTTATTACAAAATTGGAAAAGTTCAGTATGTCCTTAAGAGACATCCATGGTCTCAGAAATATTAATATGGTTAATATAGGAATATATACCTTCAAAAGTTTTTTTTTTTTGTATTCAGCAATAATGCTATAAATTGATGAAAAGTGACAGTAAAACCATTTACAATGTTACAAAGCATTTCATATGTAAACCAAGTTTTGTCATGAAACTCTAGATGGCGCAGGCTGATGGGTCCTTAATGCAAGCTGATGATAATCACTGCATTAAACTACTTGGCACAAGCTGATTGGTGCATACGCAGTCAATGAGCTTGCTTCTTTAAATTTAAATGGCTGTTAGCATTCATTAGAGCATTTCGCAGCATGCTTTCAGAGTTCTTCTGAAACCTCCATCTTTCCCAGCTCCACCTGTATAGATCTGCTACGGGTTAATATATATGCTATTTGTGCAGCAGCAGTATGTCTTAAATACTCACAGCACCGTATCTGCGTATGTATTGTCAGTAGCACGTTCCTGTGCTTGCTTTGCAGCAGAAGCAGCAATAATCTACAAAAACAGCAATAACCATTATCCATTATCATGCAAAAATCTTCCGAGAGTTGTCATAATAGAAATGTTATGTTATTTGAACTTCCTATCAATCAATGAATCCTGAAAAAAATACAGAAATATTACAATATAACATTGATAGCACTGCTTAAAATACAGTTTGTGTGTGTATATATATATATATATATATGTGTGTGTGTGTGTGTGTGTGTGTGTGTGCGCACGTGTATTGCACCCTTGGTAAATATGAACAAAGGCGGCTGTGAAAATAAATCTTCATCATTTATCATTTTGATTTTTCACTAAAAAAATTCACAAAATTCTAACATTTCATTGAAGTAAAACAATGAAAGTGGGGGGAAACTCACATTATGAAATAATTTTTTTTTTCTCCAATGCATGTTGGCCATAATTATTGGCACCCTTAGAAATTTTTATGAGTAAAATATCTTTATCTATATAAGTATATTCCTATTCATATTTAAAAAAAATTTTGGCACACCAGTGTGACTTGGAGCATGAAATTGTCCAGCCATGACTTCTTGTTCCACAGTATTATAAATATGAGGAACACAAAGGCCAAATTATACCTTAATCATCCATCACAAGGAGTAAAACCAAAGAACATAGAGTATGTTGTTGGCCTATTGTTCAGATTCATGGAATCATGGATTCTATCAAATAGCAACTGATAAACAAATCTAAACCTGACTGCCTCTGTTAGAAATCTTATAATGGGCCGTGGTTGGATCTTTCATCAGGACAATGATCCAAAACAAACATCAAAATCAACACAAAAATGGGTCACTGAGCACAAAATGAAGCTTCTGCCATGGCCGTCCCAGTTCCATGACCTGAACCCTATAGAAAATGAGTGTGGTGAACTGAAGAGAAGAAGAACCAACATGGAGCTGGGAATCTGAAGGATCTGGAGAGATTCTGTATGAAGGAATGTTCGCTGATCTCTTGTCAGGTGTTCTCCAAACTCATCAGGCATTATAGAAGAAAACTCAGAGCTGTTATCTTGGGAAAAGGATGTTGTGCAATAATTGGGTGCCAATAATTGTGGCCAATGTGAACTCCAAACATTCCTTTTGCCATTAATTGTAATCATTCAGTGAGATTTTTGTATCTCACTGATTTTAGTCTGAAAACAGCCAGTGCTCCACATCGGATCTCACCGATGGAATGACATGGAGAATCACAAAAAACTGAGACAGACTAAATCAAAAAGAACTGTGGCAATTGTCTCCAAGACACTTCAAGAATCCTTCCTGCTAAGCTACAATACTGTGAAAAGTTGTAGGCACTTGTGTAAAAATGCTGTAAAGTGAGGATGCTTTCAAAAATAATGTCATAAATAGATTTATTTATCAGTTAACTACTATATATAAACAATTTCAGCAGCCATTACTCCAGTCTTCAGTGTCACATGATCCCTCAGAAATCATTCTAATATGCTGATTTGCTTCTCAAGAAACATTGTTATTATTATCAT